CCTAAACTTCAGTCGCAGGGAATCTGATTAGCATCCGTGCATGAGAAGGCCTGCTTGATGCCAGTCAATGAAATCATCGAGCTGAGGAGCCGGCCCCTCCTCCAACTCCCAAATGACATCAAGCATGCGCTGCATCATAACCTCCACAGCCATGGTCCAAGTGCGGCTGTCCACCGATCAGCCCCAAACTGATCCCCACAGCTCGAGTACTGAGCGCTCACGACCTCTTGCAAGCGGCGACCGCCTTCTTCTATGATCAGCAACCATTCAGCCGCGCCTCGGTTCCCTTTTTTTTTTTTTTTTTTTTTTAAATGTTTCCAACTTTCCTGATGTCCTGCTAGTAACAACCGTAGTAAAAAAAAAAAAAAAAAAAAAAAGACCTTCAGTTTGAAAAAGAGAGAGAGGGGGACTAAGACCTTCAATTTGAAAAAGAGAGGGGGACTAAGACTAAGACTAAGTAAAGTACCCAGTCCTACCCTATCTACCCTTGAGTAATTAAAAAACCTGCTCCTCAACCAGGCTACCTAAGCCTACCCCCTCAATTTGAAAAAGAGAGGGGAGTAAAAGAGGGTTACTCAGGCCACGAAAGCGATTCAGAATATCCGTATGGTTAACAAAAAAAAGGACTAGGTACTCAAGGGTATTATAGTAATTACTCATTCTTCTCGAACCCCTAATTAAGGGTAGGAAAACATCGCAACGGTAGTGGAAACCCTACGACAAGCCCACCAGGGGAGGAAATGACCTTATAAAAAATCAAAATGTTTGCGGGGGGGGGGGGGGGGAAATGGCCTTATGAAAAATCAAAATGTCTGGAAGTTGGAATCGCTAGTAATCGCGGATCAGCATGCCGCGGCGAATATGTACTCGGGCCTTGTACACACGGCCGGTCACACCATGGGAATTTCTTTTGTCCGAGATCATCTCTATGATAAACATTTTGATTTTTGATACGTTACGCACGTCAAGTGCGCAGCATGGGAAATGTCTTTTTTTTTTTTTTTTTTTTTGGGCACAGTTGAAAGTTGAAACAGCATTCACATTTCAAACGAATTAATATATGAAGGAGCAATACCTTTCTTGGCTTTTTGACTTAAACGTTAAAATCGATGAAGTGCACTGTATCTGTTCTGATCAGTTTAATATCTGACTGATCCGTGGTCCATTGGGCCACATNAAAAAAAAAAAAAAAAAAAAAAACGTAGTATGTTCCGGCATTGCAGCATCATAACTTGAGTTGAGGGGTCCAAAATCGAAAGGTCGAAAGGCCTTCTTCTCTCCTGGGTTGAATAATTTTGGGCCCAAGCAATCCGGGGAATGTTAGTCACATTATCAGGGTCAGATAAAAATTTGAGTAACTGCTGTCTTGATGGCCCGAAGAGTGAAAGGAGGAGGGGGGACGGGGGGGGGCGGAGGAGGAGAATGCCATCACATACCCTATAGTGGACAGTATTGAAGTATTTTATTCATTATAATAAGGGCTCTTCCAAAAAGGCCAACGATGGCCCCCTCCTTCCGACCCCTCATCGTTGTCATAACTGTATTAAAAATTTCTTCCATTTGTGGGTTGGCTCCTTCTGTTTGTGACATCTGTATCCCGAGGAGCTTGACGAACCGCTCCTCGACCACAGGCATGCAGCAAATACCCCAATCCGTGATATGCTTTGTAGGTTTGGAGGCAACCGCTACACCCTACACTACCTACAGTCTTGTCCCAATTAAGGGCCAGATCCCACTAGCCCCTATTGTTCATTTCTGACTGTTGATCTTTGTAATCGAGGGTGGAAAATGAATAATCCCGGGTAGTGGGATCTGACCCTAAGTCTGGCTCCCGAAAAAGTGCAAAAAAAAAACATCCAGACAGCCGACATAATTCGATCGTTTACCCGATGCATATCTGGATGTAAGCCGCCAAGCCATCCGCAAAGTTTACGCTGAAGAACGAACCTCCTCCTGCTGAAGTGGAAGTCCCCTGAGTGTGTTAAAGGCTCTCGATTCCTGTCGTGAAGGTGTTCCATGAGAAGTACATACAAGACCAGGGGTACGAAGCAAAGATGGCTTGGCCTGCTGAAAGTGGATATCCTCGACGCACAAATCTCAAAATTTCAAAAGGTTCCGATCTCTAAATCATTGACCTGCAAGATTTCGTTTTGAAGGTGTTCCACGAGAAGTACATACAAGACCAGGGGTACGAAGCAAAGATGGCATGACCAGGGGTAGTAGTACGAAGCAAAGCAACCCAGGAACAAAATTGAAAACACCCAATTTGAAACCCCTTCAAGCAAGAAAACAAGAAAACAGCGAACATGGTCATAGGCCTTTTCAAAGTCTTAGAAAGATAATGGTCAGCCCTTGTGGCAAATGACCTGCTACCGTCTTCACCCGAAAATAACGCCCGGGCTTTATATTCAACTTACCCTAAAAAGAGGAGATTTCCGTTTTTACTCACTTTTTTTCAAATAGAACGCCCCTTTGAGCAGAACGCCTGGGCGTTATATTCGAATAGAATAGAATGCTCGGCGTTATACTTGAATGTTTCATGGAGAGAGTGTTTGAAGAGGTAGTATAGATGGGTTTTAAAGGGCGGGGAAGGGGGTATACATGGGTGTTGAAGAGGGTTGAATGGGATTTTGACTTCCAAGCATGGCAGCGATCCGGACCTCTGGACAGGGATCCGGACCGTCCGGTGTCCGGTTCCCAGCATGGCAGCGATCCGGATCTCCGGGCAACGATCCGGACCACCGGACAGCGATCCGGACCTCCGGACAGGGACCATGGCAGCTTCGTAGTGGGCACAGTCTTTGAATTCATCATCCCGTCTTGCGAGTTCGGTCGCCCCCCCTCCCACAACAATGTTCGAGCTTGCATGCCCGCCACTACCGCCATTGTCAGAGGGCGGAAGAAGCAGGGCAACTGGCGGCCATCGCAGGCAAGGAGCAGACGCGGAGCAGGCGCAGGAGGGCTGGCAGTGGGTGCAGGTCTTCCTCCTTTCTGCTCCTCCGTCCGCCGCCTCCTTCTCCACGTCTGCGTCCTCCTTCCGCTCCTCCTCCTCCTCTTGGTCATCATCATGTACTTGCTATAACCTCCCCCACTCCCTTCCCTGCTCATGCCACGTGGCACCCTTTTTCCTTTTTTTTTCGGATCTTTGTCGTCATTTTCCTCGTCTTCATCCTCCTCACGCTCCTCCCCGTCCACGTCTTTGCCCTCCTCCTGCTGGTACTCCATGTCTTCGCCCTCCTCCCCCTCATCTTGGTTGTTGACATGTACTCGCTATAACCTCCCCTCCCCGCCCCTACCTGTGCCACATGGCCTTTTTGTTGTTTTCAACCCATTTGCAGTACTTTGTATAGCAGGCTTCTTTTTTTTTTTTTTTTTTTTTAATATCCGGACATTTGCACACATCCGGACAGGGATCCGGACAGGCCGATGCGGACATGTCCAGATTAACCGGAAAATACCGGAACTCCGGACATTCGGATGAAACCGGGAAATCCAGTTTCCGGTGTCCGGACTTGTCCGGTTCACTTGTCCGCCGCTGCCATGCTTCCAAGAGGTATATTTAAATAATATTTTGGCTTTAGTTTTCGTTTTTGTTTTTTATTTCCTAGTTTATAAGGAATTTTGAAGTGACCCTCGGCCAAAAGTTGGTCAAATTCCAATCCTGGACAACTCTTTTTTTTTTTTTTTCAGAATTTTGGGGCCTCACGGAAGTTACCACAAATTTATTGAATATAATACCCGGCGTCGAAAAAAGCAAAAGCTATAAATGAATCACCACACAAAGGTGTAATAAACATCAGTGGATCAATGAATCACCACAGGTGTAATAAACAGCAATGCTGGAGTCGAAAAAAGCAAAAACCAGAATGTTTCACTTTGTTTGTTCTTTTTGGAGTTGTTGTCCGAGCAAGTTCACCTGTCACAAACACATATGTTTGCATCTCTCTCTCTCTCTCTCTCTCTCTCTCTCTCTCTCTCTCTCTCTCTCTCTCTCTCTCTCTCTCTTGTGGCAGCTGCGCATCATAAAGCAAAACAAAGCTGATGCAACTGTCGTCTGCCAACGTGTGGCGCCCAGAAAAAAAAGCCACCATGACCTCCACCCGCCGCCTCGTGGTGTGTGAGAAAGCAACATCTGTGCCATCATGTTCGCTATACACAAGTCCATAAAGAAAAGCACAATTGTGCCAGAGACTGTTTCGTCGGACTTTCACCCTCCATGAGGGGGTTGAATCCCAACAGTCTGCCCAGGATGCCTGAGCAGTCAGCTTTACTTTGGTCTTTTTTCTGGAGAGGGCGGGCCCTTGAGAAATTATCTTGCAACGGACCGACCCCAGGTAATTCTGCATTGTATTTCAAGTTTTGATCATACTTCATCCATCTGGCCGCGTCTTCATTCGAACTCGTGTCTGCATTTCAACAGTTCATGGTCGTACCGACGCAGCTCGTCGCATTGTGTGTGTGTGTGTGTGTGTGTAGACCGCCGCGAGGGTGAACCTTTTGGGAGTGCCGCATGGCACAAAGGAAAAAAAAAAAAAAAAAAAAACTGTGCGACCTCCACATACCGCCACGACCACGCTGTGAGAATCAAAAAACGTTTCAGCCTGGTGCAGGCGCCCAGCGAGAAAAATAAAAAACGTTGGAACAGCGAACGCGGGCTGACGAATGAACGCAGCTGAGCCCGATGGAAACTGACACTCCTGCCAGGTTTAACTGCAAATGACAACCAGATTTCTGGTCCCACTGCCACGGTCCCGCAAGGAGACACTGTCGATAGTCATTAATTGACACCTCCGAGTCTCCATCCCTGCGGATAAAAGACGCCTCCATCGTCATCGTCGAGATTCGCGAGGAATAAGGAGCAAAAATGATTATGTGTCCACACTTGAGGATGGCGACAGTCAACTAGAAATGGAGCGCTAGGGTGCTCCCGACCGCCGAATCTAGATAAGCCAAGATAAGCAAGAAATCGGCACACAGCGTACCCCCGCGTCCCACTCAGCTATAAAGTAAAGTTTTGATTTCCTCAGGAACATGATCATCGACGTCAAAAGGAAAACTTTTCCACTGTGAAAGAAAATCTCTACCTTTTTTTTTTTGGCCTCAGGAGCATGATCATCAACATCCAAAGAATTTAATGACTTCGACAGAAAATACATAGCTTTTTTTCAAACGTAATCTACAAAGGCCAAAAAAAAAAAAAAAAAAAAAAGGGCTCCCTTCTTATACGCGTTTGCCCCCACTTATATCACCCTGAAAGGTACATAATTCAAATTTAAAAATTGAAAACACTGATAAGTAGAGAACTGCCACCTTCAGCATATGAAAGCAACACCATAGTTCTTTGATAGATTACAAAAAAAGATGCAAGATGAACAGAAAAAAGTTGAAAAACCTAAGAAGTCCCGTAAAAGAGACGTCTGGATATGTCTTAGGCTCCCTGGTTCTTCCCAAAGATGATAGTAATCTCTCTCTCTCACTCTCTCTCCCACTCATGTTCATCACAACTAGACTGACAATCACAATTGCCAGTCTATGGGTGCATGCCCTGCATCTTCCAGAATTTTATTTGTCTGTGAAAAATGCCTGCAGAAAACAAAAAAAAAACAACACACCCAGAAAGAGATTATTGTCAAAAACTGCCCATCCTCAACTTTCCTCCCTCCCTCCTTGCCTTCCTCTCTCTCTCTCTCTCTCTCTCTCTCTCTCTCTCTCTCCTCACTATGTGCTATGCCTGTCGCTAGTTCGGTTCCTTCCCCTTGTTTTACGTCCTGCGCGCTAGTAAACACTTGTATAGTTAGAAATTAGGATTAGCACCGAGCTCTTGCCTCGAACCGCCAAATAAAGAGAAGCCGCAAAGAAACAAAGTAGGCAGAGTAGCGTGGCATTCCGGATTCAGCAGCTAACTTGTTTCTGCGATGCACCTTGATCCTTCTGACATATATACATATGTATATATATATTGTCACATAACTACGAACTAAAAGAGCGCACTTTGCGGAACAAAGAATAAAAGCAAAAAACGGGCACAGTGATAACATGCAAAAATAAAAATAAAAAGAAAAAGAAAAAACAAGGGCACATTGAAACCATTAAATTTCTCATTCTTCTTTGAACTCCACCTCCACTGTGCCTCTCACGTGCAAGGCTTGCCACGTTGATGAAGTTGAGCGCGAGCTGCACCCATCCCCGTATGCCATAACAGCCCACTTGCACGCTGTGAGAGAGGCAGAGTGAAGGGGAAGGTGTTAAACACAGGGAAAAGCTCAAGAATGAGGCTGTCCTTGACGACAGAAAGGACACACATTGTAAGGATGGGGTGGAT